AGTCATTGCACAACACTTTTGATGACAGTCGATCAAATTGAGAAACGACAACAGAGGTCTTTTTGTTGCACAGCCACCACATAGTGTTATCGAGTTCATCGAGAAATAGTATCTGCTGGTGAGTTGTTTAATGATTTCGCGGAAGGAGATGTTCTTAAGGGCTCATATGCTCGTTCAGAGTGGGTCCATGTTGAGTAGAACGAATCTTGTCAGATATAGCCCCTTTCCTCCGGAATAGTGACAAGTAGTCACAGAGTGTGACATAATAGCAGTCCTCCGATGATTTCGAATTTTCGATGACATCTTACATCCAACAGCCATATGGTTCCACAATCATTGCTCCAAGGCATTCTCTGATAATAATTTAGATATGGGCACAGCCCTAAGATGCAGAATGAATTCTAGGACATACGACCACTCAAACTTTTTCTTAAACTTTCTGAGATATGACATGAATTGTCAGTACCATTCAACACAACTGCGTATATTAGAGTACTCTAAAAGCAGACAGTGCTAGAGACTACTTTTTGAGCTATCATTTTGCCTCTTACACCTAGAGATTCAATGAAAAAATTTTGAGATAGAGTTCTCCCACATCCAATATTCCGGTGAAACAGAGGTGTTAAACGGGACTGTCAAGACATTGAAGAGGGCGGGGGAAGGGGTCTGTCCGTAAAGTCTCTCGTAAATTTGAGGCTGGGTTGTTAGACAGAAACAGAAGCATGCGGAGACAAGGGACGGGCGAAGCAAAGAGGAAAGGTCTTCACTTGTAAATAGGGCCTCAACAATCAGTTTTGGTAATGTCACTCACTAGGAAAACACCGTTGGTGAATTGGTTATCATACTTGCTTTCCCAGCAAGTGGCTCGGGTTCGATTCCCGAACAGTATATCAGCTTCATCATGATATATCTTTTGCAAAACACTCGGATATCATTCAAGTCCATCAGGTTACCGGCCAGGAAAATCGATGCCTTCCGGTCCAAACAGAACCACATCCAGTGACGGTAAGATGATGGTAAACCTCGTAATCTCGGGTGACCAGAAAGCCAAACAAGATGTGCAATTCCGGCCAACTTCAGAGATGTAGATCTTTACGAGAATGCCTCAACGTCATTTACGACAAGACATTCAACTTGAGATGATTCAGTAAGCTCAAGATTTCAGGTGATCAGTGGATTTGTGTTCTCTACGTTCGCAAAAAGTAACTTATTAAGTATTACTGTCTGTGCTTATTGTAGGCGTAATACCAAGTGCTAGCTGCTTGATTCCCCCTTTTCCTATCTTAAATAGAGCGCTACAGTAGGGGCCTCTTTATACGTAAATGATTTAATGATCATCGGTTCATTTATTATGGCGTACCATCCATAGGTCTCAAGTGAAGATCCATGAGGTGTATCAATGCTCTAGAATCAAGATAACGCCTGACATTGGCTCGAATTATTCACTCTATCGTGTTACCATCTGTCCCCTGACAACTACTTGACAAGTAAATCGGGAATGTTGATGCACAGATATTTACGGTATCCTCAATGTACCGACTTGATCTTCAAGTGCCGTTCAACCGTGTTTTTCTCCACAATCGCCTCTTTGACGGAGATCGATGGAGGGCATGACATCTTGTAAGAAGTGTCCGACCCTTATCACATACACATACACATGTACAAAAGGTACTTCTCCAAAATTACCCGTAGTGTTATGTGGGTTTTTTGGACTGCATCAATACTTTGACATTTCCAATTTAAGTAGTGACGCTCGCACTGTGGCGGAAGCGATGACCCACCGACTCGAATTATATGCGATATCGTGTAGACGGGACATGTATTCCCGACCGTTCCATTCCTTGGAAGGTGAAGTTGAGTCATGTGTGCCTTCAGATCATTTGCTTTCCCGTAGACAATTAGAACCTATGTCACACGGTTTGGTTACGTCTACGTTCGGGAACTCAAATTCCGTATTCTTATCAGTCGGTCCTATTTTCGTAGCGACATTTTCTGTAGTTGATAGACCTGGAAATACCGATGACTCTATGAGTCGTCATTTTCCTTCTCTCATGAGTGCATCAAGTCATGACGAAAGAGCTGTTGTAAAAGAACGTACTTGCTTCAAATCCACATGGCATGACCCACAGAGTCTAAGCAGAACAGGTGGGTCGGTTTTGGAAACACGCACAAGGGATGGACATAATGACAAGTAGCCGACATGAAGCTATCTGGTGGAACAGTTTTAGGTAAGTATACACACATTTTTAGTGAATTTATGACGGCGATAAGGTGGGTCAATTCCCTCCGCCTCTTATAGACGCTCCAGGTGTCGATCCATCAATGTCGGGCTTGATCTACGACCTATGTTGTTAACTACCCTCCTTTTGACATTACTAAACAATTATGTGCGACGGTCTACTCCAAGTTGATGATTGTATCATATCAATTAAAATATGAGATGGCTCTGAAACTCTGCCATAGATGCATACACAGGATCTAACAAAGTCTCACTTATAAGTTATAGTCCTTCTCGACTTTGACAATGATATACGATTTCAACTCATTACGCCTATCAAAAAGAAGAAAAGCTCCCATTATCGTCTAATCAATGGATCAGTTCGCAGATTAACATGCACCGAGTTGAGATTGTCTCCCCCTCATCTATTTCGGACATCTTTTTTCTCCGCTAGGCAACGATCTTCGTACGTAGACCACCCCCGGGTTTTTTCTGCTAACTAAATGTAGGTCTTGTGGCCAAGTTTCGTCACTTTTTTGTAGCCTGAAACTCTGAACACGTCACAGCTTCACAGCGGAGTCGGTGCTTCAGCGTCTAAATTTTTTTTTAAAAACCCGAAACAACCTGACTCCGCCCAGCTCCTACATACGCTCTATTCTATGCTTACCGGACTCGGAAATGCCAGTTAACATCTTCAGCGTATGTCTTTGGCAATGTTTTATTTTTGCGCCACACCTCTCATCATGTTCTGTTTACCTCAGGAGCCAGTTCGCCACAGACGTTCCTTCCAAAGAATTGCGAGGAATGCTGATAACCTCAGCACTGAGGTCTCAAATGCTCTTCAGAACTCGACGTCGTTTGGTACTGCGGCCTCTTCTGAGGAGCTTATTCAAAAGTGAGTCCGCCCCTCAGTTGAGGAGGAGTCAGCAACTTGTGGCCTCAAGTGCGTGTGTTGGAAGTGTTGACGGAACTACTGGACAGCATACTTCAAGAAGCCCGCCATATTCAAGAAGAAGCATCTAACCGTGCAAATAGAAGCTGGTCTCAACGGGTCTTGGACAGACGGGAGGACACGCGAAGAATTGAGGAGTATAGCAGAAAGTTGAGAGAGCTGGAACAAAATTTCCGAGTGAGCACTTCACACTCTCTGTTCTTTTTCCTCAGCGAGGCTTAACCAATGATCGACAAGGCGCTCTATCAAGGAAATTAAGCCTTGTTCCGGGATTTCGACAACTTCGGTCAATCAACAACTCTTCCTCCAAAAGCACTCCGGTGGGCTCACCATCCAACCTATTCACTCCTTTAATACCAGACATCATACCATATATCCTTCATCTTTCCCCCGAGAAACCACTTCTTTTGAAGCTCGTAAGCATGCGTATCTTCCTGGCGGAGTTTCATCTAACAGCAAATGCTGGGCTCAACATCGATGCTATGTCATGGAGGTGTACTTTTATCCTGACCAAGATCCAATGTGAGAGCAGACGCACCGGCCGAGTCCTGACGTGTCCGGCACTAGTCTTGGATGGCCTGGTGTGTCTTAACGTCAACGACAGGGTCTTGTAAGGATGGAGACAGCTCATGAATAATATAAAATCAGTAACACATTATGATATTCCTAACGAAAATATATGTACATATTCGGACATTTTGGGCCTCTGACTCCCAAGGTCGAGCAAACAAGACTTTCGCAGTAGAAAAGGGGTGGTGGTGGTGAAGAAGGAAGTTGGGCTAGGCTTCTGGAAAAACGAGTTCGTTCCACTTGCTCGTACTTCTAAATGGTGACGCGAAGCAAGGACAATTGGCTGTATGCACCCGAGACCAGTGTATACTACAATACTACAAAACAGGGGTAACGTATCAACGACGACAGCACACTACGAAAATCGAGCAGCACGGCATCTTTTCAACGTGTGAATGGGAGTGATTGAGAACCAAGTAAGAGTCTGAGGTGACGACGAAGGAGAATTTAGAAAGGAGTGTAAGGAGAAAGCCCGGAGATGAGAAGGAACGGACCGCCCGGACCGGTGAAATGCCGAGCCCGCCCTGGCCTTTTCTTTAAGTGTCTTATTCACCCTCTAAAAGTAGTACGTAGTGGCTGTATTGTGATTTATATTCATCTTCTCCAATAGACTTGCCTCGATCAGAAAATTCCTCTCCATTTTCCGTGTTGCAGTTCGACGTTGCGTCTTCGTTGTGCAACGACGAAGAGAATCAGAGAATCACGTAGAATACACGTGATACTGACTTGTACGCGTGCCGCGCGTCGCGTCGATCAAATTTGGCAACTTGGAATGGCTGGGCAGGGCTATCAAGTACATCTCTCTTCACAATGACCAAAAAAAGATCCAAAAAAAATGCTATTAAAAGAATCTTTAGATTTAGATTCCTCATGTGGTAGGACAGCGAAGGGAACGGAAGTGCAACTTCAAGAACGCTGAAGGAAGACTACAATGTACAAGTAAGTGACAGGGCTGGTAATACGTACAACTTAAAAACCAAAAGAATACAATGTGACTATTATTATTTGAAATCCTGGATTGCATACCAATGAGAATAAAGCAAATGCAAAGCGTAAAAATATAGTAGATAAGACGAAAGTCCGCGAAAGGAGGTAGGAGAGCTAGGGGGTGGGGAAGAAAAAAGGGCATAGAGAGATTGAAGAGTTGAAAACAAATTTAAAAGGAGTGTGGATTTGTTGAGTAGTTTCATACGCAAAAAAAGCGAGTAAACGCGCAAGAAAGAGACGGGAAGACGTGAATAAAATACGAAGTGATTCAATGCTGTCCCGAAGACAAGATAATAAAAACGAAATGACAGACTGTTGTTGATCGACAGAGGACGTCTGTCGAGCAAGCAAGCAAAAAGTAGTTCAGCCATAGGTGGTCCGCCGAAATGTTGAAAACGCATATTCAGGACCAGGAGGGGGTTCGATGCCAATGGAACGGCATTCGTCGATCAGCCGTTGTCTCATCTCGTCGCAATGATGTTGCTGAACTAGATTCCAGAACACATCGGTTAGCTCTACCAAAGTTGACGGTCATAGCAGCAGATTAGCGGTACATACGTGGACAAGGCCACAAGGCATTCATGATATCGACAGGGACCAACAAGGACTTCGCGAGTTCCAAAGATTCGACCAGTGAACGATCGTTATTCCACAACATCAAACAACTATTGGCAGTCGTGGGAGGTTGGTCAGTTCAGGTTCACCAGATAAAGAAAAAAAAAGGAACTAACATGGCAAGCTGGTTTGAGAACCAGGTAGCCTGGAAAGGACGACGAGTTAATTGATGGCCATGGGGGTCGGTAATATCCTGGATTGAAAGTTTAACAAGTTTCACAACTCGCTGCTGATAATAGACTGATAGTGCAAAAAAAAGTTCCCATCAGAAAATCCGTGTCAGTATTCGAGAAAGAAAAAAATAGTTGAATGGACGCATAAATGAGTGAAGACGTACTCCATTCTTGGCCTTGCCGACGGTTAATGAAGATACTTCTGGTTTCCAACCCATGTAAGCTAAAGGAGATGAAGAAACAGTGAGCTTTTAGATAACTTACAGGCGTGTAGATGTGACCGACCTACGGAGAGTATGAGTAACCATTAATCGTGAACTGTTCGTAAGCCAACAGAACTTGCATTAGAACAACTTCCCAAACAATGATATCATA